CTAATATAACAATATATTTAAAGACTTTTTTATTAGGTAAGAAATAGCCAATTAGAATACACAAAAATTTGATTGTTTTAAATCAATCTGATATGAATTTTGAAAATGAAATTATATATATAATGACTAGTATAGTGAATAAACTGATATTTAGTAATAATCTACAATAGCTTAACCAATTTAATAAAAAAATTTTTGTAATTTTTTATATACTTTAAAGTATTTTTTATTATAATTTTCTGAAACCTATCAAATTAATCTAATAAAAGTTCTTAATATTGCCTATCTTTTATTAAATTAATCAAAAATAATTATAATATTTAAAAAGTTTTATTAAAGACAAAGTTTATAAGAAATTTAAAATAATTAAACTTATAATTTGAAGAAACAAAACGTTTTAGCATTAAAACTAAAAACAAATAACAATGAAACTAAGATCTAGAAAATACAGAATGAGCTTAAATAGTGTTTATACAAAAAGCAGAACAAAAAGATAAGTTAACTAACTTTTATATTGTTCAAAACTAAGTTATATGTAATAAATTTTTGCTATATTTTGTAAGTTAAATTTTACTAACTACAATTTTGAAATATGAAATAAAACGATTTAAAAATGATTTAAAATCGATTAAAATCGATTTAAAATAATTTAGAAATAATTTAGAAACAATTTAAAAAATATATTTATCAAATCAATATATAAAAAATGAATTTTTATTAAAAGAAATATAGACAAATAGAGCGTTTAATATCTTATGGTATAATGGGTAATATTTGATGATTTTTATACCATTAGATTCATCTCATCGAGACGAATCTAATGGTATAAATTATCAAATTCTAGCCACTAGGTCGTGAGATATCTCGATTTTTAGTAAAATAAAAACGATTAAATTATAACGATAAAATTTGATTTGTTGATCATCACGTGTAAAAACATAGCCAATTATAATAAGTTGATTAATTTCATGTGATCGACAAATTCGTAGTTTTATTGGATAGATCGACCCTGAGTCACAGGTTTCAAATTTAGAAGGTTTGTGTAACGAGGATTGTTCACATTTACAAAATTCGATTTCCTTTTTTGGTTTGTGTTACCAGCACACAAATAAGTAAACTGCTAGAAAGGGCCTAAATATAATTCTTGATTTTTTTTCGAAACCAATTCTTTGTTATTTAAGGTTTATTTTCTTGGAAGTGTAGCTATCACCTACCTTTTTTTTTTATTATGTTTAATAAAGTTTTTATTGTGTTTTTATTGTGTATTTAAAGTTGAGCTATCGTTTCTTTTTTCTTTTTTGAGTATTTATTTTTGGTATATTGAGTTAAGCTATTGCCTTTTCTCACTTTTCTTAAGTATTGTGTTTTAGGATTAGAACTATTGCCTCTTTTCTTTATTTTTAGTTTATTGTTTTACTTTAAAGTTTCTTTAGTTTTTTTTCTAGTTTTATTCTTTTCTTGTTTGCAAATACATTCCTTAACTCTCTTACATATTAAGTCAAGTAGTATAGCTTTACTAAAAACCTGTATTGCTATATTATAATATTTATATAATTTTGTATCTATAATGTTATATTAGTAGATTTTATTAATATAGTTTATTAGTATAGTTTATATTTATTATATATATATATTTTTTTAGTTTTAGTTTAATAGTAAAAATTTTAGATATATTATCTGATATGTTAACAGATAAGTATGTTAACTGAAATGCTATTTGATATGTTAACTGAGATGTTATCTAATATGTTATTTAGTATATTATTTGGATCATTATTTGGATTATTATTTGATATATTATTTTAGATTATTAACTAAATTATTAACTAGGTTATTAACTGGATTATTAACTAAGTTGTTAACTAATAGTTCAAAAAATATAAAAATCTTGCTTTTTTTTTAAGGCAAGTTGAACTGTCACTTACTTACTTTTATTTTTTTATTATTTATAATTTATTTTCTTAGAAGTATAGCTATCATTTACCTTCTTTTTATTGTGTTTAATAAAGTCTTTATTGTATTTTATTGTATATTTAAAGTTGAGCTATTGCTTCTTTTTCTTTTTTGAGTATTTATTTTTAAGTATTGAGTTAAGCTATCACCTCCTTTTCCTTTTCTTGAATATTTTATTGTGTTTTAGAATTAGAACCTTTGTTTCTTTTTTTTTATTTTTGGGTTTATTATTTTACTTTAAGTTTTTTTTGATTTTATTTTTTTTTATTTCCAAATATATTCCTTAGCCCTATTATATATTAAGTTAAATAATATAATTTTATTAAAACACTGTATTGCTATATTATAGTTTTGGCAATAATAACAGAATCTAAAACTTTTTATATCTATTGTGATTTTTATTGATAGTTTTTTTAAATTGTCTTTCTTGTTATTTATCTTCTATACGAAACAACATCTCTTTTATTTTATTTTTGTTTTCTTCTTTTGACTTTTAATTTTAATTATTATTATCTTAAATATTTTCTTTCTTATTAATAATATATTCTACATACTGTATATTATTTAGAATTTAAAAACTATATATAACTATTGATGATTTGATTATTAATACTTCTTTTTTTGAACTTATCTTAGAATATTTGTAAATTTGAGTAGCTAATAATCCTTGTATAGAGCAAACAATTTTTTTGTTATGCTCAGTTAGTATATAAAGGACAATAGATGTTATTTCACATTGACTTATTGCAAAAACCTTATAATGCTAGTAATACAAATTGATGAAAAATTTTCAATCAATAAGTTAATAGATTATTTTATCCAACTTATTGATTAATTGGTTTTTATTTAACTAATTGATTAATTGACCAATCAATTAATTGACTAATTAATTAATTGATTGGCCAACTAATCAATTAGTTGAATAAATAATAAATAAAACTTGGTAAAATACACATAAGGTAACAACTGAAATGCCAGTTGATATTCTTATATAATTGGTTGATTTAATTAACCAATCGACTAGCCAATTAATTGACCAATTGATTAATCAATTAATTAATTAGTTGGTCAATCAATTAATTAATTAGTAACTAATCGATTAATTGACTAAGTTGGATCTGTAAATTCAAATCGATTAGTTGTCAACTTTACAACTAATCAATTAATTCGAGTTTTGATTTGTAACACTAATAGGCATATCCTTAAGCTAAGACATTCCAGGTGTGTAGCATGGCTAAAAAATCTTGTGTGCCAGACAGCATGCCATTTGTCAAAGCTTGTATCAGGCATACCAGGGTGGCATGCCACTAAACCATGTGATAAAATAAATAAATTTGATTGGTCGGTTATATATGTATGATTTTGAATCTTTTAGAATATTTTGGAACTTTGCTTCAATTTTTCCTTTGACTTTTGATTTTCTATTCGGAATATTTCAGAACTATAGTAAATAGCATGCCTATTGACCATTTAAGTTTTGGGCATGCCAATGACATGCCACTATAGGCATGCCTGTGACTTCTGTGCCACTCACCCTACATGTCCCTCATGCCTATGGGCATGCTCTTTTTAAATCATATAGTTCACAACTTCTTAAAATCTCGCATGTTGATTTAGTATCTACGGTTCTAGTTTTACCTGAACTTATTAACCAATTAAAATAACTTTGAACATGGGCATGCCCTTTGGACTTGAGGCATGCCCTAGGGGCATGCCATGCCCCTGTACCCTGAACCCTACTTATGGCTTTTTTTCAATTTTGAGATGTTTAAAAGTTAGTTGACATAAATTAGCCAATCACACGAATGAATTTCTATGACTCTGCAGCATATATTTAAGGAATTGATAAGTTTAAAACTTTTTTAATTAAGTTTAACAGATATGCATTTGACAATGACTGTAAGGGTCAATGTGTTAAAAATTGTCATAGTAAATTCAAATTTATAGTATTAATACCATGTGCTCATTCAATCCCGCATCATAACAATGGTTATTTTTTTCCGATATCATTGTAGTATTGAACCTTAAAGACTGATAAAAAAAAAAGTGTAAATATTTTGCATACTTCCTTTTAAAAAATACTGTCTTTTCATTCACAGTTTCGATTGAAGACTTTTTAAATCAACGTTCTCTCCAAATAAATGTCTCTTTAAATAAGGATTTAGAAATAATCCAGTAGGATCTAACTGTTTTTGAAGTTTTATAAAAGATTGAAATTTTGGGTATGCCTTTTCAAGTTCATGTTTGAACATTGTATGTGCCTATTAACATAATAAAATTTGTAATATATTAACACAAAACAATAAAGCATAAAAACAAAAGGATGAATAAAAGAAAAACCTTTGCCCAATGAGGTCGTCCATCATAAGATCTCATTATACTTTCATATCCAGCCCAGTACTTTTTATAAGGTACACGTTGATAATATGGTCTGCACAAATAATTAATAAAAGATTATGTAGGATCCGTTCTAGCAAAATGACACTGGATTTATATAGGTAAATTATATGATTCAAAACTAAAATCTGTTAGCCGTTAGTGATCTAATTTGGTAACATTTTGTTTTATTGAATCCACCGAGCTCTACAAAAGTTTATCCAAATCATATCACTAGATGACTAACGAATTCAGGTTTTGACCACATAATTACGGTAATTTTTCTCATGAATAACCGATTAAAATATAAAAATATTTACTTATACATGATAATCCCAATGTAACAAACTTTTCTACCGTAAGATGGACTTAACCAAATGTCATCTTGATCAACAAATCTAATTTCAACGGGAAAATGAGCTTTTGTTCCAGTCGTTTCGATCCATCGTTTCAAATCCCTTATAGCATAAATCGCTTTCTCTATTGGTATTGCCCACTCATTTACATGCTGTGGAAATAAACAATCGAAACCGAAAACCTTATAAGAATCGTCAATAACATGACTGGGTTTTTCAAGAGAGAACATTAATTGATTAATTTTTGGAACTATGGAGGATTGGAAACGGGAAAAATAAAGGAACAATTGATAAAGATGAAATCTGATCAAGACATCACGAATGTAAGATATTTTTTGTGGTGATGGTTTCTGTTACGACAAAAGTTGATAAATTATAAATTAATACTCTTGAAGCATCACAAGAAATGATGATATTTGATTTTATTACTTTGTTGGTGCGATTTGCTTTCCAGATAATGCAGTCATCAGTATGTGGAAACCACCCAAACCTAACATGTTCAGCCGAATGAACAATAAAATCTAGATTGTCCAAAATGTAATTTAATTTTGCCGGCGTTTGATTCGTTTCAAGAAGAAACGCATTTTCACATTGAACCGTAACTCGTGTAATGATTCCCAACGCTCCTAAACTGCATAAAGCAGCCTTGAAAATATCAGAATTTACGGTTTCCGAACAATACATTATACCACAAGATTCAGTAAACAATGTTAAAGATTTAATCTATAAAATTGTGAAAATACAAATTGCCATTTAAATTGGGTATGCCCGGTGATTTAGGGATTGGAACCGCCTAAACTTTTTCTTAATCGTTTACAGCTATTATCATTATTTCTGGGACACCTGAAGAATTTTCATATGACCGAAATATCCTCTGTTTCATTCGGTAAATTATCTAGCTCTCCGGAAATTACATCGCTGTCTTCGGACTGAAGGTCCGGAGACAGCGATATAGTTTCCGAGAAGTTAGGTAATTTACCGAATGAAACAGAGGATATTTCGGTCATCTAAAAATTCTTCAGGTGTCCCAGAAATAATGATAATAGCTGTAAACGTTTAACCGTTTAATTTGGCCGGCATTAAGATGATTCCGGCCCACGGCCAACATAATTCTGCCCGGAATTATGGAACAATTTTAAACGGTTAAACGGTTCCAATCCCTACGGTGATTACACATGCATTATTGTACTTAATACTACCTGCGTACTAAGGCATCCAAAGTTAATTCCAGTTCCATGAGTTGCAGTAGAAATCATACCAGCAATAGTTAAATCGGAAATAGAACACAAATTACTCAATGCCAACCCATGTTTTATAAGTTCTTCATTTAATTGCGATATTTCCATTCCAGCTTCTACAGTTATAGTCTTTGCCTCCAGATCAACCTTTGTACATTTTAAAATTTGTAAAGATATATAAACAGGGTAGGATAGTAACTATAGAAGATAAATATTTACCTCAATGACTTTATTTAATTTAGCCATACTAATTATATACCCATCAGAAAATGGCAGATCCGAAGGTGAATGAGCCACACCAATCGCTCTAACTTTCTTATTATTTCTCTTGGCGAGTTCAATTATCTATTAGAGAGTAATCATAAAATTTTTCGACTTAGATATGCATTTATTCTTATATTTCAAAAAATAAAAATATAATAATGTTTTTTTTTTTTATTTACCTTTACGATATCATCTTCAAATTCCGGTTCGAAATATAATTCTGGAGTACTATATGCAGTTTTAGACCAGTTATGAATTTTCACATTATATTTTGAGATTTCTTTTAATCTTTCGTTAAGTACAACTTTGTCTGATTTTTCCATGTTATTTTCAAAAAAAAAAAAAAAATTTTTTTGATATTAGCTACTTTTTGCTATCGCTATATATATTGCGTTAGTAAAACCGGATCAAACCGGATAGACGGATATCGGATCGCCACCAAAATTTTCACGCTCATGTGAAGATCTACAGAATTAGCCAATAGGTGATGATAATTTGGTGTAACGTAACACGATCAGGAAATAATATTCTCGATTAACTTTAGTTATATTAGCAAAATTGTCTTCCCGGCATTTTTGATTAACCTACCCGAAGTAGGTTTAGACTGCCGTTTTTTTGTATTTTTCGGGTTTTCGGTATTTTTTGTTTTGTTTGGCGGTTGATTACATGATTGACCTCCGCTTTAGACGTCCCCTAAATTTAGTAATTTTACGTGTGCCAGGTTTTGTCGATCATCGTTAGGCCACTTTTAGTTGATTTTTAGGTTAACGTCGATATTTAGGCTCAGGCATGAGGGGGGAATTAAACAAACACATATGGGACATGGACTAACAGGGGGAACCGTCACATCATTTGTAGATCTGTTACACAATTCATAAAAAATTTTTTTATATTGTTTTAAAGTACATTTTCAAAGTGTTCACGTTACTTATTCTGCTTTGAAGCGTAGAGTAATACTT